GTTTACCTCTCCAGGAGCTCTACCACATTCCCACGGTAAATACTGGAGAACAATTATACAGTACATCCAGGGGGAGCAAGGAGCCATTTTGAAATATACCCAAGCACTCTGTTTTTAGCATGGTAGCCCCTCCTCCTGCACCTCCCCACCTCAGGGGAAACTAACTAACCAAAGGCTAAGGAGTTGGAATATCAGAATCTAACTGACCCAGGGAAGGGAAATACCAACTCCAGCCCACTCTAGCCATGTTGTACCCCCTAACGGTGAATGGTGGTGGAGAAAAAAACTGAGAAACTCTTGTGAAGTTCATCGTCCAGAGGCAGAGGCACACTAAGATGGAGACCTCACCAAGAGATTATAGAATGTTTCCTCTCCCACCTCCACACTAAGCTAAGAAGGCCTAGTTATAGCAGTTTCTTTTACCCAGTATGTCATGAGTGGCTATCAAGAAAAAAATTACAAGGCATACTAAAAGGCAAAAACACAATCTGAAGAGACACACATGCATCAGAATCAGACCTGGCAGGGATGTTGAAATTACCCGATTGGGAATTTAAAACAACTTTGATTTACACGCTAAGGGCTCTAAAGGATAAAGTAGACAGCATGCAAGAACAGACAGATGGACAACATTAAGTAGAGAGATGGAAATCCTAAGAAAGAATCAAAAAGAAATGCTAGAGAAACAGAACATAAGGTAACAAGTGTGAGCCACATATGTAATTTTAAATGTTATGGTGATTGCATTAAAAAAAGTAAAAAGAAACAGGTGAAATTCATTTTAATAATATACTTTATTTAATCCCATATATCCAAAATAGTATTATTTAGACATGTAATCAAGATCCAAAATTAATGCAACATTTTACATTCTTTTTGGGGTACTATCTTTGAAATCTGATGTGTATTTTACACTTTGAATTTTATCTCAGTTCAGGTTAGACATATTTCAACTGCTTGAAAGCCACATATGCCTAGCAGTTAGTGTACTGGACAATGAAATTCTAGACCTTTCCCTTACAAATTGAGGGATCTTGGACACATGATTTACCATTCTGCGTCTGCTCACTTCCCTGTAAAATGGGGTTATATATGAAAACCCAACATCATAAGGTAATACGTGAGGTTAAATAGGTTAACAGAGAACAGTACCTGGTAAGTGCTCAGCAAACCACAGTTCTATTATCATCACCTTAGGAAGTGGGTCATTCAGCTAGCCACTTTGTCTCTTTCACTTGGATTTTAGTTGGTAGACATGAGCAAAGATTTACATGAACATTTCCCCCACTATCTTAAACAATCTCTGGTCAGGCATGTAACCAAAAGTTTAACGAACAGAATTACAGATTATTCTCGGATATAACTGATGGCTTGATCCATTTATGAGATTAGCGTCTGGAGGGTTTACACATTCACTCTCAAGATGGGGAAGTATGGGCCCAGGTTACAGTCTGAATATAAACAGCTCATTGCAACAGAATTGCCAAGAAACCAAAAACAGAACAAGTTGAAAAATATGTTCAGACTACCATTTACTGATCATCAGCTATAAACCAAACACCGAGGGAAATACGTTTCATATGCAGATTCACTTGAACCACAAGGACACAACAGCAAACGTGCAAACCCCTGTAAAACAGGTTGTCTCAGCCTCATTTCAAAAATAATGAAACAAGGCTCGGAGTGGCTGACAAACTTGCCAAAGTTGGTATTAGGTGACTCTTCATTACCCCGACACCCTTCTTTTCTTACTCATCACATGAAGGTGATGCGGGCCGGGGTGATCGGCCTGGTACTGGCCACTCTGCAGAGGAGCAGGAAGTAATGTGTTGGAGGCCAACACTTCCTTTCTCTAGGAGTTGAGCATGGAAGATTAATCACAGATGATGGTAGATACGGGACCATTTTCGATTCCACCTAAACACTTGCGTTGATGGTTCGTTTCTATGTGAGGTTTAGACAATGGGCACAAACTGGTTTTTTCATCAGATAAAGCAAGCCAACCGGATCGAGCCACAACTACTTTTTTATTAGTTCCATTTATTAAGGGACTGGCAACTCACTTGCGAAGTCTGGTCTTGAAGGAAACGGCCAAAGTACTTTGCGGGAATAGGGGTTTTTTGGTGCAGTGGTCTGGGGAAGCAGAGAGAAGTAGCTGCTCCCAACACCAATCCCAAAGAGCACGTGGCTCTTGTTATATCTGGCTGGCTCAGCAACTATCCAAGTTATGGGGCTTCAGGGGATACTGTCTAGACCAGTTCTTTTGGCCCTGGGGTTGGCAGGACATAGAACCAGAAAGCCAAGGCATGGTTCAAACATCCCTCTGCATTTTTTCTGGTAGACAGTCAAGCTGGATGGAAACTAAATCTCAAACAATTACCAAATGGCAATAAACAAGAGAATAAAAAGACTGCACAGGGCTTTCTTTAGTCCTTGGTAGATACGTCCTGGCTCGTGAGCTCTAAGACATGACATTTCTGCAGGAAATATCCTTGAGAATAAGAGCGCAACCTTAAAGACGTAGGACTTTTCCAGCTTGAGATGATTCTCATGGCAGGAGAGGTGTTCTCTAGTCTCAGTGAGAAATCCCATGAGAGGAAAAACACATCAACGTACAATTGAAATAATTTATTTACCACTAGAGCACCACAAAACAGACATACATCATGTTTAAAATACAGCGTAATCAGTCATCAAAATACAAAACAGCTATTCTTATATTCCATTTTTTTAAACCATGCCAACCATAAAATTGTACTGCTGCTTAACATAGAAACACCGCCGTCCCACCCCCCGCCCGTACACTAACACCTTCCCATTCCCCCCATTCCCACCCACCTCCCTCCCCACCCACGGCAATATTTACTTATGGGAAATAAAGACCCTATAGAACCCCCCAAACTGAAAAAAAAAAAAAGATTCAAGAGATCTTAAAATAGAGCATTTAAAACATCATCAGTGCATTCATGAGGAAAGACAAAATAATACAAAACAAAAAAGTCATTCTATCTGAGAGGAAAATACCTGCAGAAATAAAAGTGATTTACATAGAATTAATAGAAAACGGAAGGTAAAATACCAACACACTCATTTCTGGGATTGGGTTACACCCAACACTAGGGTTGTTTACTCCCATGGCATCCCCCGCTCTCTTGCTTTTCCAGTTTTCAAACCTGCGAACCCAATCTGTCATTGAATTAATGGTCAGGAAATGTCAAACGAGAAGCACTGCTAGATCAAACCATTTCACTTGGATTCACACCTCGCTGGGTAGCCCTTCAGGTGACACTGCAAATATTCCATTGTTTTACCTAGTAATTTTTATCTCAAAGCTGAGGAAGAGACAACCAGCAAACGGACATCTCCCACCAACCCTGACCGGTGGTTCCTTTCTCTGCAATGATACAGCAAATCATCCATTTATTAAAGCAAGGTAAATTCTAGCCTCAGATCTAGATACCTCTCATTCAGAGGGGTAAAAAAAAAAAAAGAATTTTTTGATCATGGGAGTACTTGGCTTGTACCTCTACAACCGTCAAAGAACATCTATGAAAACCTTAACTTTAGTGAAATCAACTGAGTGACTTATGCTGACCGGGGCTTTTTTTTTTTCCCTTAAAAAAAAAAAATCAACCAAAATGTAAATCTTTCCGTGTCCCCCTGAACATCAAAAACCTGATTAAAAGAAAAGATGCTTCCTATGAACTGATCTCTAGTAAGAAAAGAATTCTGTGAACATACCGATTAAACCAAGTTGGAGAAAGCTTGTCTTCACTCAGCCACGAAGATTCTGAGTTTCAGTCAGATCCTTAGGCCTTTGCTAAAACTAAAATATTTTAACTCGCTTGTCTATACATCTATAATAGTCCCCAATTTTCCTAAAAATAGAAGACTGTTGACATCTGAACTGATTAGTATTGATGCTTGGAAGATAAAGGAAGACTACTGAAATCGACTCTATCCGTTTTATAAAAGAAAAATGAAAGGACTCAGGTAGCTTATGTCAGAATATTGGACGATGCACAAAGCACAAGTGTAGCAAATACTATAAAACACGTATTTGTAGTGCAAGTCAAACTATGGGGGCTTTACTCAAAAGTACTGGCCAGCTAAAGGAAACACACAGTTCTGAGTGATCATTATAAAGAGCCCCAATTTAAGTCCAATCTAAATCATAGTTGATGTTATTAGAGAACATTAAAAATATGGTAAAAATGTACACATCACATGTAAAGTCGTTAACGTTCTGATTTAATAGTTTGCAAAAGAGATCTGCAGATGTGTTTCCAATTATACTGGCTTCTATACCCATCTATTATAATATAGGCATGGTTACATATACCGAAACGAAGGAAAACCTAGAGCATAGCTGTACAGCAATACTTTAAGGTCCGAAGTTTGACCAGTACGTATCAAAACATGTCAACATTTCACTGGTTTACTAAACTGACAAAGAACCATTTACAATGAAAAAGAAAAAAAAATCTTACAGACTTCTTCTGACTGAAAGTTTCCTTTATTAACAGGCTTTTCGGTTTTGAACCTTACAAGAAGCTTCCTTAGGCAGTTGGTACATAGCATGTGTTTTCTGGGTCTTTCTCTTAATGCAGACTTGCTTGGTCATGTAATAACTCGCCTGGGTTTTCATCCTGTTAACATGACCTCTTTTTTTCTGGCTCGTTTGAGTTCAAGTTCCTTAAGCCATCCATGAGTTCCTGGCAAAGTATTTGGTCTCCACTTTATACACCTGTTTTATTTTCCAAGGGCAATGAAATGTTCATTATATAGTAACACACAATAAATAACTCACTGTTAACTCTAAAGGTAAGAATGGGAAGGGTGCCTATTGCATAGCAATACAGAAAAATCAAGTGAGGCATGGGATAGGAACTGTATGTACAGCAACTCCACTTAATGGGATTTTCCTGTTTGTTGGTTTTTTTTTTTCCTTTCACATAATTAACACTAACAAATTCTTCCAGTGTTTATTTTTTTCTTAAAAAAAAAAAAAGGTTTTGCTTCTTGTCTCTCTCACAGAGTAGGTGAAATGTAGAATAAAGCCTTCAATTTGTTTTGTTTCGTTTTGTTTCAGGTGCCAGTTTTAACAAACAGAACACAAACTTCCAAAGTGTTTGAACTAGTACCGCTTTTTTCAAAAAAAAATTTGTTAACACTGTTGAAGCAAGGCTCTCTTATGTTTTCTTGTTACAAACATTGTCCTTGTTCTAATCGCTGTCGTCGTCCTCCTCCTCCTCCTCCTCCTCCTCATCATCATCATCACCACGTGATTATCGTCTTGCCGCTTTTCCAAGAATCTTAGCTGCATTTGCAAGACTTTACGATCATATTCGAGAGCTGTTCAATCTTGGGTGTTTTGCCGATGTAGTAGAGAATGGTTAGCGGTTCTAAATCCTGGGACACGCAGCAAGGGGAGGCAGATGCTTCTGGATTTATGGTATTATATAAGCTGAGAACCTGAAAGGACACAGGAGGAGAAAGAGAAGATAGGAAAAGACAAAAAAAAAAAAAAAAAAGGAAAAGGAAAAGAAAAGAGGGGACAATTATTTTAAAAAGAACCATTACATATTGCCACAGTTTTATCTTATCAGTCACAGGGCTCAGTAGACAATTTAAACTACTTTTGGTTTACAGTTTCCTTCTCTAAACCCCCAATTATGGTCAACTTGGTATGTGTTCCTAGTAATCACTGAATTCATCATTTTCCTACAGAATCCTGTTCTCATGCATCATAAACAAATGGTTTTGTAAAAGCTCGGATTGCACAAAATCACTCATTCAACAGATTTTACAGTTTTCCCAATAATCCTTTACTTTGATCACTGCTCTGCTGCACATACTTGCCAGGCCCTCGAAAAACCTGGTCCTCTTACTATTTGCTTTTGTGTCTACACTTCCTTGTAACCGAGTGTATATTTCCAATTCCGACCTAGATTAGAGTTCCCTTGAGCTCAGAGGCTCTGTGGACTTTATTTTGACCTCAGAGCCCTATTAAGACAAAATGGGACTCCTGTGCTCGGGTAAAGAAGCAAATACATAGAGAAGGAGGAGAATCAGATGCCTCATTAAAACTCCCGTCAGAGCTTTAATCTACCCCTCTGTATAGAAAAAGACACCTGTCTGCATGTGACACTTCTCTGTGCTGTCTTCGAGGGCCAATTTAATATCATCTACATTTTCATTTAAGAGAAAAAAGAGGGATCCCTGGGTGGCTCAGCAGTTTAGTGCCTGCCTTCTGCCCAGGGTGTGATCCTGGAGTCCCGGGAATGAGTCCCACGTCGGGCTCCCTTCATGGAGCCTGCCTCTCCCTCTGCCTGTGTCTCTGCCTCTCTCTCTCTCTCTCTCTCTCTGTCTCTCTCTCTCTCTCTGTCTCTCATGAATAAATGAATAAAATCTTTTAAAAAAATTAAAAAAGAAAAGAAAAAAAGAGGTACGCCCGGGTGGCTCAGCAGTTGAGCATCTGCCTTCAGCTCAGGGAGTGATCCCCGGGTCCTAGGATCGAGTCCCACATCAGGCTCCCTGTGAGGAGCCTGCTTCTTCTCCCTCTGCCTGTGTTTCTGCTTCTCTCTGTATCTCTCATGAACAAATAAATAAAATCTCTTACAAAAAATTAAAAAGAAGAAAGAAGAAAAGAAAAAAAGAGGGACACCTGGGTGGCTCAGTGGTTGAGCATCTGCCTTTGGCTCAGGGTGTGATCCCGGGGTCTAGGGATCGAGTCCCCTATAGGACTCCCTGCAAGAAGCCTGCTTCTTCCTCTGTTTATGTCTCTGCCTCTCTCTTTGTGTGTCTCTCATGAATGAACATGTAAATAAAGAAATCATCTTTAAAAGAAAAAAAGATACAAGTCTTTTCATGTATTATGGCTTCCTAAATACAATCAAGAAGTAAGCAGCTAAGAGCTAATTAAGAATGACACTAAAAGCGAACTCTATTTTTATTACTCACTTTCTTACATTTTGCTTAAAACCATAATAGTAATAATAATCAACCCTCTGTTAGATTTCACATGGTACATGGTAGTGTCTTAGCTGGAGGGCAGATAGCCAGTCCCACAGTGGAATGAAGAGAAAGTTCTATAGTTAGTCCTACACAGTTAACTCCGTCTTATAGCAAAGGTGTATGGGACTTGTACTAATGGGAGTATGTAGGTTCCCTGGTGATGATAAAGAGACAGTTCCAAGGATGCCATTAGTGCATTAGTCAAACAGCAAGTGACCTTTTTCCTCGAGATTCCCTGCAGTTTTTTCAGCCTAAGACAGAAGATCTGTTCAGTGCCGCAACACTGACTACTCTATTAAGCTACCTCTGGCTTCTTGGGTAACTGTCCAAACCACATATTTGTGACCATGACAGTTCTTCTTCCTCTCTCCTTGAAAAACAAGCATGGTCTCAGCCTTCACACACTCCCTCTGTGTATCAGGGAGGGGAATTATATTTCTACTTGGCACTTGGGCCTTGCCCACATTATAGCTACTGTTGCCACAGCCCGGTTGGAACAGCCTGGCCAGAGAGCTCAGACAAAGGGACAGGCATGAGCAAGCTTTCCTCACATGGCCAAGCACATGGTCAGCCCGGAGTGCCAAAATCTACAGGGGAGTTGGGAAAACAGCTAAAGGGAGGAGAGTCCTATTTGTCAATTTAAAGTCTAGCATATGTAGGCATTTATAAATAAACAGACTTCATGTTCTACTAACACATGATTTTTCATATGAATTAAAGAGGAATTTTATAATGCAGATTGTCTAAAATAATTGATCACCCCTAAACTCTTGAATTGAGCCGAATGCATTATGTGATCCTTTTGGCAGCAGATTCATTTTCCTACCCTGCAGTGAAGGCAATTTTTCTAATGCCTCTTTAATAAGGAGATTTACAGAGGCATAACCCCAATGTGTAGCCACATTTCAGGAATTAAAGTCAGTAAGACAGAGCAAACGGAGGCCTGGTTATAAAACAAGGAAGCCTGCATTCCAAGTTTTGGTTTGTCACCAACTGTTTGATCCTGGGCGAGTAATCTACACGATCTAGACCCCAATTTCTTTAAGGAAAGTGAAATGTTTGGACGAGATAATTTATGAAATCCTTTCCATCTCTAAAATCCTACGTTATGAGGTACCAGGAAAAAGCATTAGGAAAATTTCTATTATTACATAGAAAAAGTCTCTGCAGAGCTGGGCTACTAACCCCTGGCATCCCATCTAGGATTTACCCTCTGAATTAGCTTTCTATCCTCACTGAAGTAACTTGACAAAATATATAGATTCCTGCGTACTTTGGGTATATTCAAAAAGAACTGGGGGTACTGATTTTCAAGTCATTTTCACTTTATCATCCTTTTGCTTATACATCTACTCTTTTTTCATTGTTGTTTTCAAGATTATTTCTAACATAAACATTCCTTTTACTTATAAATTGATGCTTTGAGGTTTAGAGGAGTTAAATGACTTTTTAATTGCCACACACTAGTGGGTCACTATGCCAGAGCATCAGCTGAGGTCCTCAAAGTCTCTCCGCTATGACAGTCCTTGATGTAGATGATGACAGCTCCTTTTTTCAGATGGGGACCTGGGTCCCTTCACACCCCAGCTGTACACAACACCAAGTGATTGATTCCAAAAGATTTTTTTTATAGCTACCAACAGCTTATAGCTATTGTGAATATAAAATAAGGAAAAAAATGTAAACAACACTGTCCTCTGGTTGCATATAACTTAATTGGGAAGGCAAAAGCTACTCTTCAAACTGATCAGTGTTACTCGTGATCACCTACACCCTACATTCCTCCTCATCCATCATCAAAGGATTTCTCCAGTACCCATTCATGTGTGATGATGAACGGGCACCCAGCTGACTGGAATTCACTGGACATATTACCAGCAGGTACACACACATTAGCAACCCCAAATAGAAAAGATGGAGCCAAATACTTACCCTACTGTGCTGAGTGTCTGAACTCCATAAATATGGGCATGCTCCAGCACAGAAGTTGGCATTGTACCCTTTAGGTTCATGTATCCATTTCCACCCAAGATCCCTCTTGAAATCAATGTAAAGTGGACGCAGACAGCAATTATCCTGAACATTTCTGTTAGAAGAAAGAGCAGGGGAGATTTTATAGCTGATTTCCCCCTACCCTTCATTCCAAGCCAGAAAAATGACTCATTCACTAATTCAAACAGCATCCAACATGCAAATATCATGGGCCAGGACCAAATGGCTTTACAGTCATCTCAAATGACTTTCATGATGGAGTGTCATGGTGACCTGCTGGACTACCTTCCCTTATGAATTCTATGCCCCGAGTCTCTTGGTTGTGACCTTGAAAGTCAAATCTTTCCCTTGAATGACTAGATACAAGCAGAGAGGCGTCTGAAGAGACCCATCTCCGTTTTCAGCCAACACCGGGCAGTTTTGCCAATCAGCCTCGACTGCCCTTCCAAATATAAAATGGATGAAGTACAACAGCTATTTTCAAAGAATCATCTAAGGCATTTTCCTTTGAGAATGAATCCTTTATTTCATCTCCTGTCCCTTGACCCAAGAATGGGCCACAGATCAAGAAACATGGAGGCTTGCTTAGTGCAACATTAACTCTGGCGAGCAAAAAAAAGCCATTTACTCATGAATTCTTTGAGCGCTTTATCACAGTGAGAACCCCTCACTGCCCCATAGCTCTCAAAATAAAGAAAGAACCTTCCTCTTATGAGCCCTGATAAGAAACCACAGGAGAACATTCACACTTTCCCCACCATGAGCTCTTATAGGAGTGGGAAATAAATTTGTGTTGCCTTCGCTTCTCTCATACTCTGTAGCTAACGACACAATAAATAGTATTCTTCTTCTATTTCTCTCATCTTCATGAAAAAAGGTATGGCCATGGGCCTACCATGGGGGGTGAGGGCTTCATGCGGACATTGAGTCTTTCCAATTAAGGATCCGCCATCTTACCCCTCAAGTAAGCTTATATTTGCTCTGGGGAGCAAGAAGCTCATTTTCTTCTTCAGCCCTAAAGTGCTTCAGGTGGATTTGGGAAAAAAATTCAGGGGACTAATTTTCTGACTTCAGACTTGGTTCATTGCAAAAGGTTGCAGAATACAACATAGAAAACCTGTTTAAAGCCTCCAGGAAGAATGACATGAGGAGGTATGGTGGCTATCCTGTACTATACCGGGTCTTAAGCAATGAGTGGAGTTTAGGTGAATTTGTAAGAAAAGACAAAGGCAGTGTAAGAGTTAACAGACATAATTACTTTGTTTTACTTTTATTTCCTTTACCTAAAACAATAGGCTGCATCCAAAGCACGCTTCTTCCGCCGGTTGGACTGTTGTGACTCAAGTCTGTAGGAGGGCAACAACATTAGCAGGAGATGTGGGGTCTTCCCACTGTTTTTTTTCCTAGTGGACTTTATAGTTTTCTGATCACCACTGGTATATGTGGAGGTGCCATCAATACCTTGAAAAAATGCATTTGGGTAACAAACATTTAGCTTTACCTTCATCAAATATAACCAGCCATTCCTTTTTCCTTTGCATATTGTCACAAATAGCCGCGATGACCTCACAACAGCATCATCAGCTGGCTACAGTCATTCCCCACAGAAATAGATCTGCCACAATGAGACAATCGCAGGTGACAATGAACACTTCTCACTGAGGCTCTTGTCAGGAGGCAGTTTGGTGTCCAAGGCAGGCCTTGTTGGTAATGAAGGTCACTACAGGAGAAGCCTTTGACCAGAGTCCAAGGGCAAACTGGGTAGTTTATTTTCATCAACACTCAGTTGAGGCTGAGTTCATCCCCTCAACGACTGAAGGCACAGCGGAAGAACATGGCTCGTCCCCCCCCCCCCAGTTCACTCTCGTCCTCAGACTACTACACTCAAAGACTTTCCTAATGAACACAGCCCGAGACCTACACTAAATTGCAGTGAATTAGGTTCAAGTGAAAGAGAAGTCACCCTTACCTAATGCTATTTGGGGAAGCTGTGAAGAAAGGGCTTTTTCATTTATTTTATGGCATCCTCAACACTTTCTTGATTCCATCTGAGATTTAGAAACTCGAGCTCTCCAAAGCATGCTCCAGAGACTGCCAGTTTAAGCATTTAATCTCCACACTCTAGAGAATCGTGGCTAGGTTAGAGCCTGAAATAAATCTCTAGACCTCCGGGAGAATTTTTCCATGAGCAAGGGCCACTGTAGCCTTCTGCAAGTGGATGGAGGTCCCAGGTGGTGGTAGCTGGGGCAGGGGAAATCAGCTCCTGACGTGGTGGTGTGGGGTCAACGAGGCACGAGCACACAGCAGACTTCCCTCTTATCTCTCATCATCCAAACCGGTTATCTAATAAGGGAAGTAACTCCAACCCTTGGTATCTCTTCATTCTCCTTGACCTTTGGCTCATCACCAACAGGTGAGCAAGAATAGGGAAAAACTAAAGCCTCTGTATGTCTTTATAGACTATTCTAAAAGTCTGATAAGGAGACCACTGGAAATACTGGGCACCAATTAGAAATGGTGGAGTGTTCTCACATGTAAAGTGAGGTTAAAGAGGCTGTGGTGTGAGGGGAAATATGGTTGTAGGACTCTTGACATTGCACTTGGGACATTATCAATGGATCTCCTTGAGTGCATGCTATCTTCTTCTATATTAGCATAGCTGGAAACTTGCTTAAATGAAGAATAAAAGGCTTAACTGACTAATAGTTTGGAAGGTTGATGAATCAGTCAGCTAGTACTGCCAAGTCATCACTTGGCATGTAGCAGCATACAGAGGCTTGGTCCAATTCTTTCTGCCTTCATATATCTTTCTCAACCATATATTTAGCCAAACAATGAAAACTCCTCAGGCCTCACCAAACAATCCCATTCTCACATGCAAATGGACTTCATCCCCCCATGAGATTATCAATACAGGCCCTTCCCTCCCCCACCTCGTAAGACCAAGTTTCAGTTACCTGCAAATCTTGCTTCTAGCTCTTCACTTTTATTGGGAATGATGTAATTATTAGATGGTACAAAGGTGCAGCAGGGACAGTGTAAACTTATTTTAAATCCCAGGTTTCTGTCTGGAAAACATTAAGTCAGGGAGGTCATTTGGATGTGTGACAATACCCTTAAATCTGCAATCAACTTACAATAACGCGGGGTCACTGAGCATCTAGGGACGAGGACAGAGGGTGGCTGTAACCTTTATGGTGGAGCCATTCATGGACGGCGTCGGTCACGTCAAAGGAAAGCCATTCGCCTTCTGCTCTCGTCTTGACGACTTTGCTGTCAATGTAGCGCTGGGTTGGAGACGTTAAATCTTTGGATTTGAGAATCTGGGGAAGGAAGGAGAAAGCGAACAAGCTCACTTGGCATCCGGTCAGGATGACTAACCCAAAACCATTAACAGTATTCCAATTCATTATCTAAACCTAGCTCCACTCTGGTATACCCATGTTATTGTCATCTAACAGCATGGCTGTGTGCATAAAAGCATAACACCAGGCCATCTGCCATGAAAAATAGAGCTACTAAGTCAGCTGTGTGTTATGATAAAGGTGACAGGAACCATAAAGCCAAGTGTCTAAGAGAAAGTGACAGTAATTATTTTACTTTGCTGACATAAGCTTTGTAAGATTTCAGTCATAAATTCTATGCTATTAAGTTAATGGTTTTGTTGTTCTGCTTCTCCACTTTTTTAAATCTGGAGAGCTGGGAGCTGGGGAGGGACAGGAGGAGTAGGCCAGTTCAGAGGACCCATTCTCACCCTCTGAAGGCCCTGGGTTATAAATCTCCTTCTAATAAAGAGAAAAAGGTCCTAACCCGGGTTCCTAAATCCACCAACATTAATACATGTGGCACGCCTCAGCTTTTGAGGTAAGTCTCTAGCTGAGATTTTTACTCTCAATGTGACTTGTTATGATTTATGAAGATATTCCATATCCCACAGACGAAGAATGAATTTGGGCAGGAGCAGTCTGGCACAGTGTGTAGTGAGAGTCTGAAAGCAAATCAGCCTGAACACTGAGACTTTAGAAGGATTCATTTATTTCAAATATATAAAGACCAACTGTAGTATGTTCTTGGGTTTCTATAGGAAGTGAATGCTTTAGGTAGTTTTTAAAAATTCTGAGTGTCTTTAAATGATACTGTTTTATGAACCAGTCAAGCCAAGATCTCAAGTCTCCTAGAGCTCTATCGAATCCCTACCAAACCCGTATCTTGCCTTCCCTCCGTACTGAGGGGCTTGTAGTGAGGGGCTTGTACTGCCCTTCCTGATGTCGAGTCTAACTGTTCCGTTCTCATGTCATACATATGGGTTGGTCTCTCCAACAAGTTCGGAAGCTTCCCCGGGGCACTGATCTTGTCTTCGATTTGATGCCATTCCCAAGCATGGCACTCACTTTAATCAGTGTCTATGAAATGACTATCTGAATATCTTGAAGATTTATGTGCTCTCCTTTAAACCTCACAAAACAAAAATGCACAGCTTTCCTGCTGATTTTAAAATGCACTTTTCTTCCATGTGTGTACATGATTTGTTTCAGGTAATTTAGCAACAAATGCTTCCTAAAACATCTGGCATCATGGTCGGCTTTTTTTCTGGATTAAGTTAGTTTAGAAAGAGATTCCTCCAGTGGACCTTTGGGGGGCTCTCAGCGAATTTTAGACAAAACCTACTCTATAGTCTTACCCTCGAGGTTTAACAAACTCCACTAACTGTGGAGACAATCTAGAGGCAATCATGATTCCACCACAGGCAAGACATGTTCTTTGTGAATTAAGGGATGCAAGTAAACATGGCCCGAGGGCTGGGCATGCTGGGCTCTGGGTTTGGCACACATTATTTCATTTAATTTAATCCTCACAACATTCCTATAAAGTAGATTAAGGAAACTGAGACTCAGGGAGGTTCAGTAACTCACGCAGTGCCTCATGGTGAACATGTATGGAGAGAGGATTCAAAGCAATCCTCTAGTTTTCCCACTTCAGTGCTGGATTTTGAAGGCCAGAGAGTTATGGGAGTCAGATTTGAATCATAATTCATCCTTACCCTCTTCCAGATGACAAAAAACATTCAGTGACAGAAGCAAAGGTTTTTTAATAAGATAAAAATAAATGTTGGTACCAGATGGAAATAGAACAAGTCGATTAAACATAGTTAATGCTGACATAAACCTATAACTTTATTTTTTATTTTTTTTTTGAGATTTTATTTATTTATTCATGAGAGACACAGAGAGAGAGGCAGAGACAGAGGCAGAGGGAGAAGCAGGCTCCATGCAAGGAGCCCAATGTGGGACTCAATCCCAGGATTCCTGGATCATGCCCTGGGCTGAAGGCAGATGCTCAACCACTGAGCCACCCAGGCATCCCATAAACCTATAACTTTCAAGACACAGCTTAACAGCAGTCCAATCCTCTGTAAATCAAACCTTTCCTTGAAAACACTTCCAGTTGGGCAAATAAGATACCACGGATCCAATTCATAATAATGGGTATAATTAACCTAACCTAGGATAACCATGATAATACAATATGTGAGACGTTTTCAGGCATTTCCATCTGCCTTACTGCTTAAAAATTAGTAGCAAATCCAGAACTCATTTTTTTTGAACTCATTTTTTTTAATTTTAAATTTCCTCCCCTCGGTGGACCTCCTATAATGATGCATTATTTCATGATGCTTTTATATTGGCTTCACTCCTAACCAGTATAGTGTATGTCTTATTCATCTTTAAATCCTTAACACTTAGACACAACATCTAGAACAAAACATTGCTTTCATTGTTGTATTAATACATATTTTGTACATATATAAATTGATACATAAGACATCTTATCTAAGACATCTATCTCTGATACAAATCACTGAAGACACAGAATTTTTTTTTAAAGGATATATTGACCAAATGGGCAGAAAACACACATACCAACAAATCTATGGACATTCTTCAGAGCAAATGGGTAAATCTAGATGATCTTGCTTTAAAAGCAGATTGAAAGGGAGCAAAAAGATTCTGAAACTTTCTCTCTTAAATCTCATTTTCTAATAAGTGCTTCTTTGGTCCCAAAACACCAGTAGGTTCTGACAGTGGACAACTTCACATTCTCACATGACTGATAGGTCCTCTGTGTCTTTTCGCAAGTTCAAGAACAAGCCAATTGAAACCACCCAAGAATGACAGCCAGTTCTAGCTGAACAATTCTGAAACAGTGTGGTGGCTTTGGTCTTGTGGGTTTGCTGCCTCAAACTTTATGGCCAAGGACTTCTTAAACTCACTTGTTGCAATTGAACTCCTTTCCTACCAAGTCCTTAGTGGAAACAGGAAACAGCTGCCTTCCATCACTCATAGACTATCCCTCATATGCTTGGAGACTATTATTAAGTCCCCCTCAGCATGCCTGCTCTCTCTCTCTAAGCTAAATAAACCCTGTTCCGTTAGCCCATATTTAGAGGGGCAATTTCCCAAACCTTTAATCACTTGGGTCACTAACTAGGATGAATGATGCTATATTAAAGTACTCCTCCTACAGCTTCGTGGTGGTGTTTCAGAACTGGCTAGAAAGCCTTCTAATCACATCTCAGAGTCTGAAATCTTAACTTGAAAGGTATCTTCTTTTTAAGAATAGGCACAACCTCCTTATTCCCAGTTTATCTTCCATTCATTATCCACACAAAATTAAACTGGAAGGGAAGAAAATCAACCCACTGCTGTTATTGATTAGGACTTTCCTGAAGTCAAGAGTTTACACAAAAATGATTAGATCAGTCAACTTCCCACTCCATTTCAGCCTTTGCTGTCATCTTTCTTCAGTCTCCCAACAAGTGTATTGAATGGGAACAGTTTTGAGTATCCAGCTGTTATATTTTTTTCTAGAGCCAAAGTCACCACTAAATTCCTCTATACATTGTATCATGACAAAGATAGTTTAGTTGAACACTGGAAGCTCTCATACCTGGGTTTCATTTAACAGCCAGATTAACCACGATTCCCCATTTGTTCTGTAATATATATTGGCTGATGCTGGGGTTCATTGCTGGAAAGCAACTCTCTAGTATGTTCTGAGAACTTCTGATCTTACCGGCTGAATTGTATGCTTAGCAAGTATCCATTGTATATGTTTCTAAACCTGTGTATGATAGTTGGACTTGATATCCAGTGGAATCAAATAATCTAGAAATGATGAAATGCAGGCCCAAAAGTAAAGAGAACTGTTGCTTCTGTGAAAATCAAGTTGAATGCTTTGGAAAATCTTCAATACAGACAAGCTGCTTAAAAAAAAACATTTTTTTAAAACAGTTTGGTACTTCCTCAAAAAGGTATACATAGAATTACCATTTGATTCAGAGATTCCATTCCCAGGTATATAACCAAAGGAACTGAAAGCAGGGACTCAACAGATATTTGTGCCCCAATGTTCATAGCAACATTACGATAGCTGAAAAGTAAAAACACCTTAAGTGTTCATCAGTATATATAAAAACACTATAAATAAAATGTACTATATACCCACAACAGACTATTATTTGGCCATAAAAACGAATGAAATTCTGACACATATAACAACATGGATGAATCCTGAAGACATTATGCTAAGTGAAATAAGTCAGACACAAAGGGACAAATATTACAGGATTTCACTTCCATGAGGCACCTAGAGTAGACAAATTCGTAGAGGGAGAAAGTAGAATAGAAGTTACCAGGGGTGGTAGGTAGGGAAAATGGCAAGTTACTATTTAATGGGTGCAGAATTTCTGTTTGGGGTGATGGGAAATTTCTGGAAATAATGAGTGCTAGTGGTTGTATGACATTGTGAATGTCCTTAACACCACTGAATCCTATGCTTTAAAAAGGGTTAAAGGGCTACACTTACATATATTTTGCCACAACGAAATCTTTTCCTAATTTTAGATGTTAGGGAAACAGCTATAGAAGAAATAACAAAAGGAATAATATGATAGAAACCTAGAAGGATCCTGGGGTGCCTAGGTGGCTCAGTTGGTTAAGCGTACAACTCTTGATTTCAGCTCAGGTCATGATCTCAGGATCCTGAGATCGAGCCCCGTGTCAGGCTCTACGCTCAGCGCGGAGTCTGCATAGGAGTCTGTCCCTCTCCCTTTCTCTCCCTCTTCCTCTGCTCTTCCCTCCACTTGCTCTCTAAATAAATAAATAAATAAATAAATAAATAAATAAATAAATAAATAAAATGTCAAAACAAACAAACAAAAAACAACCTTAGAAAGATCCTGCACACAGGTTGCTCAATAATTTGTCCTGAAACTTCTTTGTTCTTCAAAGAAATGAAAAACTAGAAATTGTAGATGGTGCAT